GGCTCGGCCGGCAGCACGTGCCGGGAGGTCCTCGGGGTTGGGGGTAGGGGGTTGGGAGTTTGTGGAAGGAGCTCTCCGCCTTTCATCTCCCTGGCCGCGGCCCAAATTCAGACTTCCATGTGACTGTGTCATTTGCAAAAAGTACGCTTAAGAAGATGACTCGAATGGAATGTGTATACTTAACCACAATAAAAATGAATAAATAAAGGTTAAAAACGTGCAAAGCAGCATTCCGAGGAGCTTTGCTGCTGCTCGGGAATTCCTTGGGTTTGTACCATCCTCCTCCTCCGAGGGGAGCGGGGCCCCGAATGGCAGTGGCTCGGCCCGGAGAAGTCGCAGAGCTGGTTCTGGCACCGCCGCCGCCTCCCAGAGAGACGCCAGGAACCGAACCCCCGAGCAGCTTTCCTTCGGCTAACCCTCTGCAGGCTCGCTCACCGTCACTTCCCTCAGAGTCTAGATCAGCGGTTCTCAACCTGTGGGTCGCGACCCCTTTGGGGGTCGAACGACCCTTTCACAGGGGTCGCCTAAGACCATCGGAAAACAGATATATAATTACATATTGGTTTTGTGATTAATCACTCTGCTTTAATTACGTTCAATTTGTCACAATGAAAATACATCCTGCATATCAGATATTTACATGACGATTCATAACAGTAGCAAAATTGCAGTTATGAAGTAGCAACGAAAATAATTTTATGGTTGGGGGTCACCACAACATGAAGAACTGTATTAAAGTGTCGCGACATTAGGAAGGTTGAGAACCACTGGTCTAGAAGGTGGAGGGAATCCCCTGAATTTATCTAGCTTCAAGGATGGATGGATAATTCTTTCCGAGTCTTAACAGACCCCAAACCAGGCTCACCCCCAGGCTCCATTCAACTCCAGGCCACACCATCCAGCTACGTATCTGGAAATACTCAGCTACGGCTAATTCCTTTAGAATGCAAAGTTCCCCAAAACTCTAAAGTCTTGTTATTTTAAGAGAATTGTCCAGGGTTAAGTAAAAGGAATCGATCCCTTCATTGGTCCCATTAATATTCATCAAATACCTACCCTATGTTGGGTATTCTGCGTGCTGGAGATTCATTCATGAGCCAAACAAAAGCTTGGGTGGACAATAAAACCAATAGCTAAGTGTATGAATAATGACATAAATTACCAAGTAGAGTTATAAGGAGGGAAGCAAGTGGCTTGGAAGAGGAGATCTTGTTAAATTGGAGAATCTCAATAAAAATAAAAGAATCTCTCATCCTGAAACTTGGCACATTTGTGGGAAGCAAGAACCCCCACATCCCTTTATTTATTTATTTTTTTGGCAACCTGCAGTTCATAAAGGGACTGTTTAGCACCAAAAAAAACCCAGCTTCATATTCCACTGGTTTTCATCATTTTTGTGCATACAAGGAGATCTCAAGCAACCTAAGTATCATCCACATTCATCCAGAAAAAGAATCCTAGATATCGTTCACGATGCCTCTAGTTCTCAACAATGAAAATCGTATCTCTTTATTGCCTGAACCCGGAAATAGTCGCACACGATAGTAAATCATATCCACTATGAGAGTCGGCAGCCCTGGCTGGTGAACAAAACAATTCCGATAGAAATAAAAGCAAGGAGAGGGGAATTGGGATAAGGTGGCCCCATTCAATTTTTTTTTCATTCTATTTTTTTTACTGCTTGTCTCACAGGTGACCTGCCCAAGGAGGGGGAAGAAGGGACAGCAGTTGGCACTCTGTCCCGAAACTCACTTCCAGCCAATTGAGAATTCCCTGCTGCCAAATAGCAGGTATGTTTATGTTGAGGGTTTTGTTTTCCTCTCTCTCTCTCTCTCTCTCTCTCTCTCTCTCTCTCTCTCTCTCAATCATAGAAGCAGGAAACAAACAACAACAACAAAAAAACCCTAAGCTTTGGCCTCATTCCTTGCATTCTGTGCCATTCACAAAAGGCTCTCCCAGGCCCCACCTGCTTCGTCTGTCTGTCTCTCTCGAGCCTCCTCTATAATTCTGTCATCAACCCCAAGAAAGAGAAGCCAAATTACCACCAGCTGGGCGGGAGCCCTCTTCTCTTTGGACCTCGCCTCACCCCCAGGCACATATGTTTGGCTTGAGTAGAGGTGTTTGAGTTCCCAACTTTCTCCCCATGTCCCACAGGTGTGCCTCTGCCCTTTCAGAGGGTCAACTCCCCCCTTCCTTAGCCAGTAAAGGAGAGGATGGGGGGCTTTTACTCCTGCAGTTCATTACCCACACCTCCAACGCACTGACTTTTTAACTAATACCCTTGTGTGTCCGTGTTTTGCCAGGCACTGTTCTAGACTCTCGAGAGAACATAGCTGTTGTTCCACTTATTTATGCATTCATTGCTTGTTTCTGGTCTGTGCCCAGTCTTACTGGAACACAGCCTGACTGTGTACCTATTGGCTGTGGCTGCTTTCACACCATAGCAGCAGAGTGGAGTGCCTGGAGTAGAGAGGACTGTATGGCCTGCAAAGCCTAAAAGACTTACTGTCTGGCCTTTTACTTATTATTGGCTGTGGCTGCTTTCACACCATAGCAGCACAGTGGAGTGGCTGGAGTAGAGAGGACTGTGTGGCCTGCAAAGCCTAAAAGACTTACCGTCTGGCCTTTTATTTATTGATTTTTAAAAAAATATATTTTATTGGTTTTTTTACAGAGAGGAAGGGAGAGGGATAGAGAGTTCGAACCATCGATGAGAGAGAAACAGAGCTGCTGGCCCCTGCTCTGCCCAGCAGCAAGCATGATCTTAGCAGAAATAGAATCAAGCCTGGCTTAGGACTCCAGTCCAAGTGGATGGGCGTATGGATGGGGCAGGATTGAAGGCTGAAGCATTTCGGGGCCAGACGATGAGCAGTGCATGGTGGTTTATTATAATTTCCTGTCTCCTGGTGTTTGCTCTAAATTCTAGTTAGTTAAAATGTTTTTTAGAAAATAAAAAAGAAATGCTTTCCATGTCTTTCTATTTCCGTTAGGACACGTACCATGCTGTTAACATGGCCTCCAAGCCCCCTCCTGGTCTAGCTCACACTGGCTCTCCAAGAGAGTTAGGGTAGGAAGGAGGAGCAGCAGATACGTGTACCTCCCCATATTCATGACAAAAGACCCAACATTGGAGAACCCAGTGTTTGAAGACATCTGTCTGGGCTCTCGATGGCACCTTGATTTGATTTAAGCCATTCCCTGCTTTATTGAAACCAGGAGCTAATGAGTTCTTATCTTCCTGTCAGTCCTCTCCCCATTACCTCACCTCCCTCTTACTCATCCTTTCGGCTCCATCCGGAAGTTTGCTGGCCCCTGCTCTACCCAGCAGCAAGCATGATCTTAGCAGAAATAGAATCAAGCCTGGCTTAGGACTCTTAAGTCCAAGTGGATGGGCGTATGGATGGGGCAGGATTGAAAGGCTGAAGCATTTCGGGGCCAGACGTTAAGTAGTGCATGGTGGTTTGTTATACTTTACTGTCTCCTGGTGTTTGCTCTAAATTCTAGTTAAAAAAAATTTTTAGAAAATAAAAATGAAATGCTTTCCATGTCTTTCTGTTTCCGTTAGGACACACACCATGCTGTTAACATGGCCTCTAAGCCCCCTCCTGGTCTAGCTCAACACTGGCTCCCCAAGAGAGTTAGGGTAGGAAGGAGTAGATATGTGTACCTCCCCATATTCATGACAAAAGACCCAACATTGGAGAACCCAGTGTTTGAAGACATCTGTCTGGGCTCTCGATGGCACCTTGATTTGATTTAAGCCATTCCCTGCTTTATTGAAACCAGGAGCTAATGAGTTCTTATCTTCCTGTCAGTCCTCTCCCCATTACCTCACCTCCCTCTTACTCATCCTTTCGGCTCCATCCCTTCCCCCCCCTGCATCCCCGCCCCCGTGTGAAACAGCCCTTGCTGAAGTCACCAGTGACCTTTCTTTCGCTGATGCAGTCACCATGTTCGTTCAGTCCTTGTCTTCTCTGACCTCCTGTTGCTCATTTCCTCCTTCCCAAGATGCTCTTCTCCCTTGACATTTGGGACCACGCTCTCATGGTTCTCCTACCTCCGTGTCTGTGGAAGGACACTCTTCCTCGCCAGCCTGTACGTGTTCAAAGTCCTCAAGGCTCAATCCCCCGTCTTCCCAGACGGCCTTATCCACAGTCTTAAATGTCATCTACACAGGGGTCAAGTTTTTATGTTTCCAACTCCCTGGGCTCTGGAACTGCACCATCCCGTGCACAGTCTCCAGCCACGTATAACTTTTGAGTGTTTGAAACGTGCCTCGTGCCACTGAGAAACGAAGCATTTCATTTCAATCCATTGCCATGTAACTGGTCGCATGTGGGTAGAGGCTTAAAGATTAGACAATGTAGATACAGACCATTTCCATCATTACAGAA